TCACATCCAGCCCTGCTACCCCCCTTGTGTGGCTGCTGCCTGGGGCCAGCACGAGTGTTGGTCTCCATCTCCCACAGCAGCTCTGCCAGCAGCTGCTCCAAGCCCCACCTGAGGATGAGCTTTCTGCTGGAAACCACCATGGCAAGATTCCCTGCCCGCCCAGACTGAGACAGGAGAAATCACTCCTCTGTCACCTCCATTTCAGCTGTGAGCTGCTCATCTCTCCTGTCTCCTCACACCTCCCTCTGCTCCAAGCTGCAGAGCCTTCCCTGAGGAAGGAGCCTCTCCCCTCCCCTCCCTCCTCTCCAGCATTTCCAGCTCGGTGCTGCTGCCACAAAAAGGTTGCACGTGCAGAAGCCCAGAGACCACAGATGGACACAGCAGAGTAACAATTTTCCCCCTTCTGTCCTTCCATGCTTTCTATTGTGGTTTGTTTTTTTTTATCATCCCACTGCACTGACCAACTGCTTTGAAGCTGAGTCTGTGCCTGTTCCCTGCCCCCCTGCTCCCAGCAGCACAGAGATGCTGCCAGTGCCAGTCCAGCCTCTTCCCACTGGGCTTCTTTGCTCAGCACCATTAGGTTCTGGTGATTTGTTGCTGTTTGTTTTCTCTGTTTGTCCTACTGCCATTTCTATTGACATTTCCATCAGAGACACTTCCTCTGCTCCAGCTCCCAGAAGGAAAACATCCAGGAAGCAGCAACACAAAGTTCAGCCACATTTTCTGCTCTGGCTCTCAGTGCCTCTCACGCTGTGCTGATCTGTTTCCCCCACACCCTCTCTGTTTGAGAAGGTTTGTATCAAGGGCTGCTCCTAGAAAGTTGCTCCTGGTGATTTTCCCTCAGTTCTTACGTTGTGCTTATAAGAGCTGGCAGCCCTCCCTGCATCCTCGAGTCCCCCGTGCTGTGGAAGGACGTGCCTCACCCCCTGCTCCACCAGCCCTGCTCAGTCTGTCACCTCCACTCTTGGGTTTCCCTGAAGTGTTTTACAACTGCTGGAACAGCTGCCAAGTTCACAGTATTGCATCTGTGCCACTTCAGAAGCCTCTTAGATGCTGGCTGATCCTTTACATTTAAATTATTGTCTTTTTTAAAGGTTAAGCCATACAACTCCAGGCTCTTCCCCACTGGTCAGCAGGTTGAACTTGGGAGCAGCACGGTCACCATCATCACACAGATCTGCAGGTCCCCACTCTGCTGCAAGTCCTGCCCTTCTACCTCCATTTTTAGGGCCCTGTTTCACCTTTGTCCCCCCTGGCATCTGATCTGGATCCTCGGGCAGCCTCTGTTCCTGCTGCTTCAACTAATTCACCCCCCTTATTTAACACCACACACACAGCACTGCTGCCCCACCAGCTCCATCCCCCTGACCTGCTCCTCCTCCTTCCACCCAATCTCCAACAAACTCCTTCTATCCCAAGCAGAATAAAAAAGCCCAGCATGTCCCTTCCCCCACCCCTGCTGGCCACCCCAAGGACCGACCTGTTGCTGAAAACCTTGCTGCAGTTGTAAACCTGAATGGACAGCGTCTCCCCCATGATGAGCTTCCCGTAGTGGGGCCAGCGAAAGAGCTGCAGACAGAGCTGGGGAGGTGACAATTCACTCCCACCCACCCACCCCGTGCCTGGGGGCCCGTGGGTCTCCTCTGCAAGGTGACCAACCAACGAGGAGGACAAAAAGCTGCTTTGGTGGGGAGTGACTTTCCTGCTGGCCAAGGCAGACACGGGAGGGTGGGGAGGGGAACCAAACCCCCCGGCAGCCCGGAGCTGCATCATCACCCCGGGAGAACGGGAGGCCGGAGTTGCCGGGGGAGGCGTGGGAAGGTACAGAGAAGAGATCGCCCAGGGCAGGAGCCATCGGGCTCCTCAGGCACCTCGCAGAGCTGCTCCCTGGGGCTGCAGGTCCCTTGACACCCAAACCGGGCGGCCGTACCTGCTGGCACAGGACCAGGGGACCCATCCCCATCCCCATCCCGGTACCGCCGGGCTGCTCCGGGCTCCCGGACTGTGGCCGCGCGGGC